TATATTTTTAAAAAATTATGACTTAATCATCAAATACTTCCATTTGAATGTTCTCGTGCACAGAACGGAATTGCCCGCCACACTTTGCAGTGTTATATCAATTATACGTTGTTCGCGTCAGACCCTGCTGTCCAGAGAAATAGCCACACGTAGAGTTCTGCCGTATCTAAAAGGTTAAAGACCAGTCATTTTGATTGGTTTTGATAGAAATAGATATATCAAAATAACTGGTAAATCTATTGTTAACATTAAAATAATCTTTGATATTACGTATAGGAGGGGTAGAGTAAAATGAAAATTCATAGTTTTATTTATTCGTTCTATCGAAATGGTAAAAAAGAAACAAAACAAAAAACAATACAGGGATCGCGTACATTTCGATTTCACATTTTCTCTTTTCCGATTTTTATTGTTATTGTTGTTACGCGAGAGGAGAGCACTAGAATAGATGGAATTTTAATTGTCATCTAACTCCGAGTGTTTTATTATTGTGTTTTACAATTAGTTAGTTTGTTTTTTTTCTTTTCGTTTCGTTTTATTTTTTATCGTTCGTCCCGTACCTCTCTCTCTCTCTCTCTCTCTTTCCCCCAAATATCACCACCACCCCCCCAAACCCCCGTCCTCATCCCATCGACCCTTGTTTTCTTTGGAGAAGAATTTCTCGTATTTTTAGCATCGATTTTTGAGTACGACGACGCTTTGACGTCAGCATATCTGAGCGCGGAACACGAGTTTCTTCCTCCTCCTCCTCCTCCTCCATTGACATTTGAAAAACGAAATTCCACTCGGCCCCATCCTTAAAAGCTCGCGCATATTTTTCCTCTTCTTTTTTTGGCCAGTCAACAAGAGGCAAACTAAAAATTTTGGGGGTGCCAAGGGGTAATTTTTTGAAATGAAATGAAAGAAGGAAAGGGAAGGGAAAAGGTGAACAAAAAAATAATATTTTTAATATTAATCTAATAAATATTTGATCCATTTTATCAATTTAATTATCAATATTCTTGTCCAGAAATATATTATTAATATAAGTCTCAAAGGGAATTTTAGACGGTTGTTAAATCTTATGAACAATTTATTTTGAACTAGTTGTACGTTTCGTCCCTTACTGGGGACTTCATCAGCAACTACAAAATTTTTTGTATGACTCTGTAAAAAAGATAATATGTATTAACACGTGAACTGTAAAGATCAAGGTAAAAATTAGAATTTATTGCAATGTTTTATATTTATTAACAAGTCATAATAAAAAAAAACAATTTTTTTAGTTGCTGATGAAGTCCCCAGTAAGGGACGAAACGTACAATTAGTTCAAAATAAATTGTTCATAAGATTTAACAACCGTATAAAATTCCCTTTGAGACTTATATTAATCATTTTATCAATGTTATGTTTGTAGTACATCTAATTCTGTTTTTACGCGATAGATACGTTCCCGAAGAATACGTGTGAAAAAAAAATATATTGCATTTATGGAAAATTAGTAGATTGATTTCAATCCCAAGAAATCAGGAAAAATAATACAATAAAACACGAGTTTTCGTGTTAAGATCTGAAACATTTTATTTTATAAAGATTGCACGCGTATCATACAAAGTAAATTATCATTTGAAAAGGGAAAAAAAACATGTCAAAAAAAAAAAGTTTGAAATAAACGTAAGGGGGAAAAGATCGAATGAAACAAATATGTCTGCGAGTATTGCGAAAGAAGAAAAAAAAACACACGTGCGCACGAAACGTCTTGCATATAATATTCGCATACTTAAAATTGCATGCGAGAATATACACACGTATATATATATATATATACATAAATATAGATATATGTATTTATATACATAAGTATGGCGCATACATATTTTTAACTTGACTCATTCGTTCGCATACTTAAGAATCTATTGTTGACATCTTAAGAGATAAATTCATTTTAGCAACTGAGTATACTTTGTATATGCAGTCAAACATGCTTATCTATTTATTTACACATTTTACGTATACGTGTATATACATATACGATAATAAGTCTTTTTAGTAAACCCTGCTTAATTTGTTTTACGCGCACACACGAGAGAACATATACGCGCGTATTTATAAATAAAATATATTATTTTTATACTATCAGCATATATATATATATTTTGAAAGTGGCCTTACTCCGTTTTTCAGTTTTTTTCCGGTTATCATGATTTCGTGTATAACTTTATGTTATTTATCAGTAAAGCATTTCAGGTTGCTTATAATCCGAGCGAATACGATAATTCTGGACACATAAGTTTTCAGAGTTAGTTTAATAATCGAACCGTGTAGTTTGAAAGTGGCCTATCTCCATTTATACTTAAATAATCAAGATAATATATTTACTATTGATAATGTCGGAAAGTAGTGACAAAGGTAATATTAATTAATTAGTGTTTACAATTTAACCTCAGTTTTTGGACAATTGCGTTAGTTGAATAACCTGTAAGTTTAATTTATTTATAACTTAAAATTTACTATTAAATTTTAAAAATCATTTCACCTATGACGAAAAACAGAACAAGACTATTAATTAGTTCAGATAGTGAAGAGGAAATAGTATTTAATAATTTAGAAAAAAATCGAAAAAGAAACCGAATTGTACAACAATATTCGTCTTCAGAGGATGAAGATCCGAATAATAATATAAAAAAGATTGATACACCATACATCCAAAAAGTGCGAAAGATTAAACGAAACTCAGGAAAAAGATATTACACTAATACCGGAAGGACATAATTGACCTATTACGATACATACCACCAGAACATCATGATTTCTTCAAATCCCTTACACACACATAAAATGTAGACGAATAGTAAATTGTTTTGTAATAAATTTATGTTTGTAATTTTCTATGTTCTGTTAAATTAAAAAATGTTTTGAATCGCATAAATTATGTTTCCGAAGTGTTTTCAACAAATATAAAACAAATTCAGTATTGTTTTTTTTTCAATTTGAAACATCTTAAATTATGTTGAATAGACTTGGGCACCTTCAAATTTTATAATGAATCTGGCTGTTAATTTTGAAAGTGGCCCAACTCCATTCTTGATAAGAAAACGCACGTTATTTACTTAATAATTGCCACTATTTTAACAGGAACTTTAAATTTAACATCCTWAGATACGCTTAAGCAGTATAAATCATTAGTATCCTATACGTATATTTTTAAATTCATTGAAACGCAAAACGTTAAATATCTCGATTTGAAGATAAATGGAGTTAGGCCACTTTCAAAATAAGCGGCTCATATATACGAGGATGAATCGATAAGTTTTAAGCCTATTTTTTTTTGTCTACAAGTTTTGGGTCGTAGTGCTTTATTGAAAAATAAAAGTGAGTTTGATCGAAAAAAATAAATCGTTTCAACGTATATATATATATATATATATTTTTAATTTTAATATATTTAATATATTTTCATTTAATATATTTCTTTTCAATTTTGTTGTATTATATTTGATTACGTTAGGATAGTGGTAATAGGTAGAGTAATTATATTAGGGTATATTATGTATGTTAAATTAGTTGTAAATGATGTGTACGGAAAGATAGGATTGACAAATGTTTGTAAAGAGAACGGACTTTTAAAAATCCATATAAAAGTGATAATAATAAAAGATAATATTTTACTAGATAAATAGAAATTACTTTCTAAACAATACGTGTGAATTTTCATTCGTGCATTTTTTAAATATATATCACAAAAAAGTTATACTTATGATAAATTTCTATAATATTCATTATAACATTAGGGAATTTAACTAAAGCTAATATATTTCCAAGATTACCATTAACCAACATTTTTTTCCCCCATTTAAATGTAGGATATTAACTGCTAGGTAAACACTCTTACTATTTATGCTCATTTGCCTGAATATTCTCATAACAAAGGTGCAGCGCCATTGTTTGGGAAGTAAACCTTACTAAGCTGCTTTTATTCTATTCCATAAATAACTATCAAATGTGTATATATGAACAAAAGATGAAACTTTTAACTACGAACAAAATGACGAATTCGACTTTAAAAGTAACTTAAAAGCTTCTACATTAATATTTATTGACAAAAATGACTCGGTATTGTAGACAATACCTGCATTTTCTTCCCACTTTCCCTATAACATATATATATACAAACAATAAAATATTAGGTGGACTAGAAAGTAATGTAGTTTTTTTTTAACATTAAATTCAAACACGATTTTAAAGTATACAATGAGCTGGTGAATATTGCGCATGCGCACAAAATGACATTACTTTTCGATCCACCTAATAAAATAAATTTATGAAATAGAAAAAAGAAATCTGGAAAGATGAGAATTTTCATTGGGAATGATTGATGATCGACTTAGTCAGATTTGAATATATTTTCTTATAAAATCAATTTAGAGAAAGTTGTGTACTCTTTCAGAAAACCACACACACACGCATAGATACACATAACGTATGAACGGATAGGTATAGTTATATGCATAGAATTTCTATAAGGATATTTATTAAAGCGGGGGTTAACTAATATAACGGCTTGGAGCTTTCAATAAAGACCGATGATCGTCCATTGTTGCGAGGACCGACACGGGCACGGTGAAGACGATTATTGTCCGCATGATTACGCTGTTCCATTTCCTTCCATCAATCTCTTTCACGTGGTAGTAATGTGCCTCGTATAAAGCTGATTCATATTTCGCATCAGAGACGCAGCAGCAGCGAGACTGCACAATGTGAAATTTAGAACGAACGCTCGAGCTTGGGTAATCAATGAGCTGGTACTGAGAAAGAGAGAAATAGAAGAAAACTCCGTCCAAGTGAAATAGAGAATGAGAGAGAATGAGAGAGAAATTCCGGTGAGAAAAGCTTAGTAGATATTTCGTGACAAGAGGCGCATGGCAATTCTCGATTCGTCTCATCAGCAAAGACTCAAGTTAAAGTAAGCGTATAAGTAAGTATTATACGTGCATACATACTTCCATGCTTAAAATTAGCTATGTAAAAAGCTAATGCAAAGCTAACACCGTTTGCATAACGTTAACACCTGTTTCTTTGTGTTTCTTTTCAATATTCTCTTTCTTCTACCAATTAATTATCTTTTATCAGCGAACAGAGAGAACATCTCCATCTTGGTTTTTTTCACGTCCTCGGATAATTCTGATCTTTTATTTCTATATATATATAAATATCTGATATTGATATTTTTATATATATCGATAGATAAATGTATGATCAATCAGTTACGATATTTATAGATATAATATTATATATCTATAAATTGAAAATATTTATATTTAATGATTTATCTCTTATTAAAATTAATTTTATGAATCTTATATTATTTTTTGCTTTGTAAAATTTTTATTATACTAATTGTAAATTGTTTATCCTTTAAAGAAATCATAAGGTTGTATATTTCTATACAATATACTATACAATATAATATTATATACTCGTGAATATATTATATTTATATTATATAAATGTAATCGCGCGTTAAGGATCAATATTTATTTACGACATTCTATATGAGGTATAAAAAAATAATCTCATTTTCTCATATTTACCAGAATTCTTAACTAACTGTTACAAAATATGCTCATTAAGTGCAAACGGATGATATTAATGTTATCATTTAATTGATCGCACGTGCGTTTAATAAAATACATGAATTGCTTACTTCCTTCCGGAAGTTTTCCTTTTATTTGCACAAATGTACGAAGAAGTAAAAAAAAAAACGCGATAGTATAATAAATATAAAAATAAATAATTCAATATAAATTATATTGATACAGTCATCTTCCTGTTCTTCTGGAAACGTCACTTTTGGAAAAAAAGAGATTATAAGAAAAATGTAATCTAACAATAAGACAAGATAATAAATAACGTGACTTCAGTCGCGTGATCATCGACATGATAAACATTATTGAAATAACGAAGGATTTTGGTATTACTTATCTTATTATCGTAAAACCGACCAAGGAATCCATCAGTTGCGTCAATTACGTGGCGCGCCAAATGCATTACGTCCTGTCGGTCTTTATCTCATATGATTAACGACTTTTGCTAGAAAGATATTTCCGTAACCAAGGAAAAAGAGGGTCAACGTGACGTATTTTTAAACTACATTATTTCTTCTTTTTTTTCTTTTTCTTTTTCCTTTCTCCGTTCTAATAAAACACAAATACATATGTATCTCATAAAAAAAAAAAAATTGATAAACATTATATTTGGATGTATGATTCTTTGAACTTATAAAACATCTTCCCGATTATTTCCTTTTTATTTCAAGAATAATCTTATTTTCCGCATAACGAGATCATCGATAAGATTAAAATAGATATATGTTTCATCGGATCAAAATTCCCGCGTTTCCGCCGTTCGACTCGATTCGGTTACAATCGACGTAATTAGTTCTCGAATCAGCTGATAGATGGCGCTTCGTTCGACGCAATGACAGACTTTAAATTTACTTGGACGCTCGACTATAAAGGGAGACATTCGTTTGACTTATGCGATTGACTTTTAATCGGTGTGCAATGTAGTGATGCTTCACGTCGGTTATTTCTCTCTCTCTCTCTCTCTCTCTCTCTATTCCTCTCTCTCTTTACAATTTCGATCATATTTTTCGACCATTAATTTATCGATCAAATTAATTAAATAAACATTCGTTTCGAGTGCTGGACTTAATTCATCGGATTTGAATTATCAAGAAGAAATTGAATTGTTCATTGTTCTAAGTGGTGTCTGTTCTCTTTGGCATTGTGTGTTTTCTCTATGCGCTAGACGCGCATCTTAATAATCCTTTTACTATTAATTTCCTTTTGTCCTTGACCAACAAAATGTAATTTTCTTTCTAACAATGTGAAAAGACTAAAATCTTACTGTTTAAGCAAATGCCTGTTGTTGGTGCTCGTTAATCAAAAATGTAAATATATTTGAGTGATCAAAAATTATCTAAGACAAATATTATTGTGAAATATCCGAGGCCCTTGTTTATATTTTGAATATGATGAAGGGACAAATACAAGCAGCACGAGAAAGGTTAGGTGGGTAAAGAAAATTCAATCCTTTACGTGATTTTCCTTCGATGCTTTATTTTTGCTATCAAACATCAGGTATATTTTTATTTATTTATGTATTCATTTATGCAATTTTTCGTTTTCGATGTAGTATTACCTCCCGATCATTTGTTCACCAATTATAGGATGCCCTCTGTATAGGAAATAAATAGTTTTGAATTGACTCCTCATATGCTATTGTCCAAGCTTTGTTTTGTATAACACAAACTTTGTCAATCTTAAACACGTAGTCAGATAAATAACTTTATCAAATTGATTCTTTAGGAGGTTTCAGCAATAACAGTTACTATTCTAGTTCGTCAGACCATGTATCTGACATTCAACGTATTGTTCCAATCTCGCATTATGAATTGCAATTGGATGATCCTGCAGTTGCAACCGAAGTCGATAATAAAGTTAAAACTAAATTACTCTCTATATGGAATAATGTTAAATATGGTATATATATATATATATATACATATATAGAAGATTAACAATTGTATTTTATTGTATTTCTGCCATCACGTTATGGATTGTTATTTTATTCTTTTCTTCCTATCCTTATTTTTTAGGATGGACTGTAAAAATAAAGACAAATTTTTCTAAAGAATCTCCAGTATGGTTGCTAGGACAAAGATATCCCAAACAATTGGAAGATACTTTAGAAAAGGCTTCGGAAGCTCTTTCTGGATTAGGAACTGGAAGCGAAGTTTCCTTGGCAATAGATGCTGCCACTTACGAAGAAGGAATCGAAGGGTTTAAAAGAGATTTTGTTTCGCGGTTATGGCTTACTTACAGAAGAGAATTTCCTAATTTAAGAGGTTCTACTTTCACTACTGATTGTGGCTGGGGTTGTATGTTACGAAGCGGTCAGATGATGATGGCGCAAGCATTAGTTTATCATTTTCTAGGGCGAGGTACTCATTTTGTTTTTTTTTTATTAATATAATTAATTCATAAAATAAATCAGTTCTCTATAGATTGGAGGTGGAATCCTGATCAAACTGTTGAAACGGATGAACAGAAAGACGAAGAGATGAAACATCGTATGATTATAAAATGGTTTGGAGATCAACCTGGACCTCATTCTCCTCTTTCTATTCATAAACTCGTATCGCTCGGTGCACAATCAGGAAAACAAATAGGGGATTGGTACGGGCCTGGATCAGTTGCACATATTCTAAGCCAAGCAGTAAAATCTGCCTCTGAGATACACAGAGAGTTTAACAATTTGTGTGTTTACGTTGCTCAAGATTGTGCAGGTGATGACAGATTATATATTTATGATTTTATTCTAGTACTATTTATAATCAGTCGTTTTTATCTTATCTATATATTTCTAATAATATTTAAGTCTATTTGGACGATGTGAAGAAGTTATGCGAAACATCAGATGGAATCTGGAGATCTCTCGTATTACTAGTACCATTAAGACTTGGTACAGATAAGTTAAATCCAATGTATATACCATATTTGACTAAGCTGTTGGAATTAGAGTTTTGCATTGGTATCATTGGTGGACGTCCTAGACATTCGCTTTACTTCATTGGTTATCAGGAAGATAAGCTGATACATTTAGATCCTCATTACTGTCAAGAAAGTGTTGATATGTCGAAAGAAATGTTTTCCTTATCAACATTCCATTGTACCTCGCCTAGAAAAATGGTACTTTCCAAAATGGATCCCAGCTGTTGCATCGGTTTTTACATATATGATAAAGACTCTTTTGACGAATTTATAACAAAGATCGAAACCGTAAGTGTTTAATAATGTTTGAAAGAAAGAAGAATAATTTGTAATTCTTTTATTCGTAGTTCTCTATTGGCCAATTATTATTTGCAAAACCAGAAACAAAAAAACAGAATTAATGAACCGATATTGAAATAAGAGTAGCTTTGAAAAGTTAATATTCGATAAGAGAATTTATTTATGTCTGATGACAGCATCTGTTTTTTCTATTTTTATTATAGATATTTATGACTCAAAGTCAGAAAGCGGATTATCCGATGTTTTTATTTTGCGAAGGAAGCGGGGAGGAGTTGCAAGAAAACATAGAGGTTGGTGAAAATCCATTGCCCTCGACATTGTTTGTACGACCTGGTGCATTCGAAGATCATTATGAGTTTGAGGAATTTGAACTCATTTGTATAGGGAATAAAAGTAAATAGAAAAAGAATCGCGATGTACTTATAAATACTTGAAACGTATTAATTACACAAAGTACGTACTATTTACTTATTTACATCATACTATTACTATTACTACTACTACTACTTCTATTGCTACTACTACTACTACTACTACTACTACTACTACAATTACTACAACTACGTTCGACAAATTTGTAATTCTTTGTTAATTCGTCCAATATTCTTAAGTGAGAAATTCAACAATATTAGAGATTACTTCGAAATCTAACACACATACCATTGTGTCGTTATTGCGTAGTTAAGTGTTATTAAAATTTAAAGGTAAAGTAATGCGCGCTAACTAAGAAAAAACAACATAGCGAATTTTTTGAAGAAGATCTCTCTCTCATGATGTACGTCTTACAATTGCAGACTGATGTCAATGCGTTGACTAAATTATATTTAAGTGTGTAAAAAAAATGTGCAGAAAAGATAGAAGTTTAAACCGACCATCTATTTCTGTGACGGTTATTAAGATACTTATGTGTAATGATCTTTAATAAGTATTAAACGAAGGCACAATTTTTTTACATTTTGTTATTTGATCTCGAGATCGTTGCTATTTGTTTTTTTGTTTATATGTACATATATTTATTTATTTATATTTTTTCTTTGGTTTCTCTCTTTCTCTCTCTCTCTCTCTCTCTCTCTCTCTCTCTCTCTCTCTCTCTCTCTTTCTTTCTCTCTCCTTCTCTCTGAACGAGTAAGATTTATTTTTTTTTTTATATTATATAATTGCGATCGTGTCGAAATTGTATTAAATATATAAGAGAACATTTATTTATTTCTGTAGAATATATTTCTTCGATCTTGCATAGATTGCAAGTAAAGTTAGTAGATACATTTTACTATTAATAGCAATTTGTATGCATACAAAGCGTTTCTCAATTACTTGAGTAAACTGTTCCTCTAAAATGTACATTATTTCTACAAAACACATGCAACGTAAAAAACGGATACATAGATACATGCATTAACTGTCGAGTTCACACAAGTAAATAAATACTTGTGTATAAATGCACGATTTATATTATTATTTATATTAATTTTTATTTTCTCGTTAAAAAATCGTTAAAATTGTTTCATAATCATTTATTATATTTAAAAATATTCAGCTATTTTTTTATTTATTTATTTATTTATTTATTCTAATATTGTTTGGTAATAAAATTAACTATTAATGATAAACGTTGCAATAAAATTATTGTATGATTTATAAAGCAGTATTCTAAGTAAGTGTTTGTCAATGATTCGTATTAAAATTTGCAATTTAAAAATTATTCAAACATCGAAAAATATTAACAAATATTTATTATTTATTTTCTATAATCCTGAATCATCATTCGTTAATTGTATAATATAATTGAATGATAATTGAAATCAATGTATATTAAATAGTTTTAAGTATTCATAAAGATTTTGCACGTATCATCATATTTCACGACAATTCGGTATATTAGGATTTAAGTAAAATTATTAAGCCTCACGTTATATGGGAAAAATGTATGGTATATCAAGAGAATTTGTTGATTTTTTATAATGTTAAGATGATGATGGCTATGAAAGAGAAATAAATTAACTGTACGCGAGATTATTGCGAATTGTGTGAATGGTATATATATAATATATAAGTATATATACATATATATATTAATACTGTTGAGTATATATATAAAAGATTTGTTAAGAAGATTATGAATAAAACTGAACGAGGCATATAAACTTTGTTAACTAATTCTTTCAATGTTACTCGTGTTTGTTGCGCTGATAATCTTAAATTTTTATGTAATTTAAAGAACATTTTTTTTTTTTTTTTTTTTTATCGAATCTCATCCCAGTACGATAACGCACCAACGTTGAAACTTTATATCTGTGTTGGTGATTATAATTGTGGATTAAGTTAAACGAATTGGATAAAGAGTTATTTCATGATTTATTTTATAATATAAATAATTTTAATATAAAAATTATTTTATTAACAAAAATATTTATATTATTTATTAAAATTATTTATATTCTATTCATGTAAAGAAAACAGTTAATAATCATTGTTGCTAAGGCGCCGCGTATGCAATGCAAAACCATCAAATATTATATTTATATAGATAGATATTATATGTGCATCTTGATATATTTATTTATATTATCAATTTATTTACAAGTAAAAATGACAACAAAGAACGTTTAGTTTTGATGCAATTGACAATACTTATCTATTCGTACTTGTTTGTTTAAAATCAAATTTGGCAATGTCATTAAGCGTGTCACGAGACCCTAATTTATCTCGTTTTTCAGTCTATGCTCATTATCAAATGATTAATGATAAAAATTAACGATATACGATATCGAAAATATTATTAATTCGTTGTATATGTATAATATGATACACGTACTACAAACATTGACAAATATTAACAAATGTGCGTATATATTTTATATTGAATGTAAAAAATAAGTTCTAAACGTAACGGTAACTAGGCTATTTTTCAGTCAATCATTTCACTAAAAAGTTCACTTATTCTCTTTTTCTCATGCGTGTTTTTTTCCTTTGGAATATTATAAAAATTGTTTAACACATTCCTTGATTGAAGGCCACATTTCATTGGTGGTTTTACCTCGAAAATCCTTAAGTATTCCAAGCTTACGATAAAAGTTTATCACCGGTTCGGTTTTCATAGAATAGTCTTCTAATCGTTTATGAACGACCTCCAGTTTGTCGTCCTGTCTTTGGATAAGCTGTTCACCAGTCACATCATCTTTACCCTGTGCATACGTATATTTATGTACACGCATATTGATATTTGAAAAGATGTTAATAATAAATCACCTTGAGAATTATTTTCATTTTAAAACGTAACGCATATACTGCAAAGCAAAGCTCATAATCGTTCGTTATATAAGAGAATGATAAGATGGCAAATAGTAGTGTTTATTATGATCATTATTTATTATCTGTTAATACTATTAACGTAATATCGAAATCCATCTATTATTGATTCCATTTTTTTATTTGTTAAATTAAACGATAATTGTAATATTCAAATATATATATATTTTATTTAATATATTAATATCAACTAATACTCAAATTTTAATTTAATTGACAATTTATTACTTTTTTAATCGCTTGTATAAATTATTATTATTATTATTATTAGTGTTGTTGTTGTTGTTATAAATGAATGATTTTATTTGTAGTTTAACTTACAGGTACTTTGGGATCGTTAAATCCTAAATTATAAACTCTTCCACTTGGCAAATGAATCCACCTATTTTTCACGCGATCTAAAATCACCGAAGTAGGTACATCCAAGTTCAGAACAAGATTCACCGGTTGAATTCTTTGTAACATTTCCGCCTGAGTCAATGTTCTCGGGAATCCTGTAAGCAGATCATCGTGCCAAATATTCGATCGAATTTATTTTTATCATAAGAAGTAGTGTTAAATAACGATTAAGATGTTCTAAAAGGTACAATATTTAAAATATTAAATTACACTTACCGTCTAACAACCAATTACAATCACCTATGGTTTCAATTTCTTTCCCGATTAAGGATATCATCGTTTCGTCTGGCACGAAACTTCCACCATCCAAATATTTTTTTACTTCTTTACCTAATTCTGTTAAAAAAAAAAAAAAAAAAAGAATATTTTTAAGATTTAATTATTATATTTTTATTATATTAATTTTGGACGGTGATCATAAAGTGATCTTTAAATTTGTTATATTTTTTGGTAATTATTAAATTAATTTACTAAATATTTAATATAATTTTATGTGTTTACATAATTTGAAACTCAGGGCCGCATCGAGAGGGTGCAAAGAAAATGCATCGCACTCGGGCGGTAATATTGGTTTGCATTTATTGTTTTTTTTATTTATTATAGTAAATGCTAAATGCAATTTCTTTTAATTATTTTTTTAAAAGACACATATTTAAATAAAATCACTGTAGTATATTTTATTATTATAGTATTATAAATATGTTAATATATATTTAACAATATGCAGTATGTCATAGATATGTTTTGTTTTTCTTTTTTTATAAAATATATGACAATTAAATAAAAACGTAAGTAGAAAATATATAAGCAATATATCTGATGAGTAGAATAAAACGTCATATGATCAGCCATCTTTATTAAACAACTATAATCCATAATTCATTAAATTATAACAAAAGTATCTCAAAATAAAAAAAATTTGAAACAATTATTTAAAATATTAATAAGAATTTAATATGAAAATATTTAAATCCACATTCATCGATAACTATGTAAATATTTCAAATTATTTCGTAACACTAATAACAATTCAAATTTTCTCACTTTTTCAAATGTTTTCTTCATTTTAATTCGATATATCAGAGATAATGTATTAGCAACATTTTTAATACGGATTATCAATACGACCTTTGCTATTAAACATTTTATTTTCGTCCCGAAAACATGCTCGTATATAACTACGAAGTATAAAAAACTTGATAATTAATATTGCGTTGAAATATTCACTCTCTCTCTCTCTCTCTCTCTCTCTCTCTCTCTCTCTCTCTCTCTCTCTCTCTTCTTCTTTCAATTATATTCGATTTTCTAGCACGAAGATGATGAATGTTAGAGAAATTTCTGAGGAAATCGTTGCGAGACATTTTAATTAACTATCATACGATGACATGATTTCAATTTGTCGAAATCAAATCACACATATATATAAACAACCCCCCTTCCCATTAAAAACATATATATGTATATACAAACTCTGATACTCATGTTCATGCACACATACGTTCACACACCCACGAATGTTTCGTAGTTACATTGAAAAGAGAAATTGACGTGCTGTGCCATTGATTACTCTCTCGCAACTTTTAATAAACGAACTTGTTACGATGGAGGGTGTACGATACCCGTTTATAAGGATGGCGACGAGTTAACGAACGAGTATATATAAATAAAAAAGTGTTAAAAAAAAAAAAGAAGAAAAAAAACATGTACGAATCTAATATAAAAATTATAGAATAATCTTAATTATAAACAAATAAAAAATTGATTGCACTCCCATATATCTCGTCAATATGTGATTAATTATTATATAAATTTATATGCAAGAGAGAGAGAGAGAGAGAGAGAGAGAGAGAGAGAGAGAGAGAGAGAGAGAGAGTGGATAGATAAGTTCTGAGCCTTATGTAGAAACAATTCTTTTGTAATGAATTTTTTGTTGTTGAGGTTGATAAGTCGAAAAGTTTTGAGCCACACAACAACAAATTCAAAAAAAATGGTTTCTATGAAAAGGCTCGAAACTTTTCAATTCGCCCACGAATGTATGGGTTTTTCTTTTTGTTTTATTTTGTTAACACCCTGTACTATAGTACATGTATGTACATAGTATCAATGATTATATTACGTAAATATCGTCCATCGACTATTATTGTAGGGGGGGGGGGAGCGACTCATTAAAACATTTGAAATTCCTTCGAGATATTTAAACTCGTCATTTACGATATCTCGCAATCGTTCATTGTATTCGATATAATCCGAGGTTACACACCCATTGATCTTGGGCATCAGTTCAATTCATTCCTAAAGATTACGACGAATCTCAATGACGATTAAATAAAAGAACAAAAATAATGTTAAATGTATTATTTTAATTATTTCTCTACGATTATACAGATTTTCTCTTTTGGTTATAGGAATATTTTAATTGAAATATATTATGATCGATTTCTTCCCTTTCATTCAAAAAAATATACTCCTTAGAAAAATGTTCTTTTAAAGAAAAAAGAAACAATTAATTAAGAAAATCAATTGAATTGAAATACGAATATTGAATCAATGAAAAGTGGTTTATTAAATTATTTCCAATCTTTCTTAATTTTGATTGGTTAAAAAAGGGGATGAATTAAAATCGATAACGAGGATAATGTCTAAGGGTAGTTTAATGCAACTCGGCAATTAAAAAACGTTCTTCTATTAATTTCGTTTAATTTTAAAAACATCTTCCTTCTCCATCTCTAGATAAATAAATATTTGAAAACTTATAAATATATAATTACTTAGGTAAATTTTGTAAAAAACGTACCTGTACCGGTGCTCACGTGTAAACGTAATTTGTCCCCACTGGAAATGTGCTTAACATTAAATTGTTCAACAATTCTGGAAGAAACGGTTCCTTTTCCAGAAGCCGGGGCACCAAGTATGACGGCCCTGAAGGCCGCAGCCTTGGATAAACACGTGGATAGCGCTACCATTAAATCTATCCTCTGGTCAAATGTTTTCTTAACTTCGACGTCCTATTACCTTCTCTTCTTATTTCCTACTCACGTTGTTTTATAACAGAGAGCGTGCTTTTCTTACCGTTCGTTCAAATTCGTTAGGACTCGTGAAAATTCGGTATTTGTCGTAGTTAGACTAGGTGTTTCTAGTATTCTCATTCGTTATCTGTCTTATCATCGTACACGGGTAATGCTAGTTTATATTTAATAAGTCACTTCATTTATTTTTCACCTAATAATCTAAAATTTTAAGTTCACGTTGTTAACTGCCTCGAATGCGAGACGTAACTGACGAATGACGCAATAATAGTAGCATAACCATCACTATATTATCAATGAACCTGAACTTGATGGTCAAGAACTTATTTTTGAATGATTGCTGTTGTACTTGGATGGTTTAATATTCAAATTATTTATATTGTATAATTGATCAAATAAACGGTCTTTTTTTTAAATAAGTTACATTGCTTGCGATTGAATGTAAGTAGTAGTAGTCAGGTTCTGGGTCAATAATAATCCCTACTGAGAGAGCTTATGTATGTTCATTACATATTTATACAGTAACCGATCACATAATATCACTTTTTTAATAACCGGTTTTTTAGTAGCCAATTGAGTACTGGGTTAGTTTATTATTATCTACATATTTATACTGCGACCAGTCATATAACAGGTTTTTAATAAAAGAATAATATTATGTATAATAAAATACACAGTTAATCCATTGGATATTGCTTTTACCGATGATAAATGATCATTATTTCAAATAAAAATTGTAGTATTGATAATTGTATAACGTAACAGGGTAAGATTACGAGAATTCATAATGTAAAAATATTCGATTAATTTATTGACAAAGTAGCACTTTATTCATATGAAAAAGTAATACAACGTTAGGGCCTGTGCCGGGTTTCCTTTTTTTTTTTTTTTTAATTTATCAAAAGCGTGTATGTATATATGTAACGAGACAATAATTAAAAGGCCTTATATCCATTAGAACAGAGATTGTTAGATTGGCCTTATCGAGGCCGCATTTTATTTCTTTTATTATACTTCCCCCGCTACGGCGATCGTTTCTTTGCAGACTCAACAATTCCAATTGTTTTTATGAGCGTTTCTTCTTGTACTATTCATATTCATGTTTTAATTTGTTGTTTCTTATTATTATTATTATTATTAAATAAATTTTTCATATTATTAGAAAAACTAACAAGCAAAGAGAACGAATGTTAGCAGAGGAAGACAAATTTTGTCTCTCTCACAAAAGAGGACCTCTACGTTTTATGTTTCAACAGAGACGTTCAAAGTCAGCTCACAGAATGAATTGTCCCTTTTCTTATATCTTCACGCTTTATTATTATTTTTGTTTGTATTTAATTTTTTCCCCCCTTACTATCTTATCGTTAGGATGTTCAACATTTATTCACTTTTGTTATATTACTCATTTTTATAATAATTATATTATAATATTACAATACACCAAAAAAACATATTTTTCTCTCAATGAAAAACAATTAAATATAACAGGAAGTGTAAAAATGAATGAATTATTTTTGGTTTAATCCGAAAATAATTTTGCACGTCTCTGTTTCTTTTTATAAAACTTCAATCATATATGAACCATGATTCTTTTTTTTACATTTACTCCATAAACTTTTTCTAGCTTTGTAAATCCCATCCTTCGTTTGCAAATGTCCCATGAATGCGAACTTCTTTCTTTAATATATCTATTTTTTTTTTTGTAAGATTATCTTTCTTATAATCTTTCAAGTACAAATATGTGTACAACACATTCTACGAATATAAATTCTTAGGATCCCCAATAGAGACTCTAGGATTAAAGTTTTGATTTATTTTCTTTTTCTTTGTAACCATAAGTCCATCATTATGACGAATATCATCTTCCTCAAAATTTATAATTCGCGTCAGGGATTCAGAATTATTTCGAAATCTTGCTACTGAATAGAACTTTACAAATACATATAATACATTTTGAGAAATATTATAGTCAAAATTTTCCCAATTATTTTAAATACTTCATCATTATTATCATATAAAATAAGTCAATATTACTTATTACAACAGCCTTTCTCATCTTACATTACTTGAGTCTCTATTGTATTTTATCATTCTTAAAATATACATATCTATACATTCTGCAATTGTGATTTATTATTTGTGTTTGTTTCTTTTTTTAAAACTCTTCTCACTAACGAGAATCATGATCAATATTCTTTCTTTCTTCCTTTTCACTCACAGTATATTGCCAGTTTGATCAAATGCAATAGAAGCATAGTTAGTCTAGTGCTACCTTAAGCTATACTTATTTGTGTGTTTACTTAATTATTAACTAATCATAGTACATATGTGTTTTTCCTCTTTAGTCCTATAATTTGTCTTTTTCTTCCCCCCCCCCCCCCTCCCATTTTCATCATAATAATCGAATTTCTTTTAACAATACTTTTCCACGAAAGTATCAACGATAAGACTCGAAATATTATCGAGAAACATTTGGTCGATTTTTAAATCAAAAGTTTTAGAATATAATTGAATTTTCTATGCTTGTCTGTAGAAACAAATTTTTATAATTTGTCCAAAAAAAAAAAAAAAAAAAAAAAAAAATGGATATTTAATAAAATGTTGTTTTTGGAATACAATGAAAAAATTAATAATACATCATATATGTAAAGCGAAAACAAAAAGTGAAAGTCAAATTGATTAAAATGAAGGCTTTTAAGTTTTTTAAATTCAGCACGTATGGTTCAATAACGTTATTAATTAATCATGTATTGTGAGGTGTTCTTGTGTGCCATCTATTAATATTATAAATGTTTAAAAATGAACGATTGTGAGAATCTTCTGGTCTTTTCATTACCAGAGTTCTCCATCCTTTTCTTTCGCTGGAACTTCGATAACTCTAGGTTTGTCGATTATTCGAGCAGTACGATTTCCCTTTTCCACAATACCAATTATCCATGCTTGATATCCTTCTTGTTTTTCTATATCTTTGCAATATGCAGCTGCCTAATTTGAAGAAATAAATATTTTGTAAAAATCATTAAAATATTTATGAATAACATTAAACGCATCATGTACCCAATGGATTCTTGAAAGTAACTTGTTTCAATACAAAAATAAGAAAAGTATGTGACAAATTTTTATTTGTTGAATATTTAATAATTCTTTTATGAACAACATGGCACATAATACTTTTAATATTAAAGGATAAATAAATAAATTTATTTGTAAGAAAATTGACAACACTAAAATGCTTATTAATTAGCAAATTAGCATGGGTTTTTCTAAACGTTTATCTACCTGCCTTTCTTTAGAATATTAAATCAAAGATAATACTCTACTGTATTAGCAGGCGTATATACAACAATTATATAGATAAATATAGAAACGTACTTGTTCTCGAGGAAGGCATATAAGAAGCCCACCACTCGTTTCAGCTGAATGTCCTTGAAGTAATTGGAACATATTACCGCAAGCTTTAGCTACTGCTGCCATTTTGGCAATAACAGGTAAATTATGAATAACAAATGAGACTTCGTTTTTCTGATGTTTCGCGAGATTTTGTGCGTGTCCTAAGAGACCGAAGCCTGTAACGTCTGTCGCTCCATGTGCATTATATTTATGCATCAATCTCGCAGCTGCAATTAAGTTTCCAAAATATTTATATGCACTTATATAATAATACGATATAATAAAATATTATTTTCTTCCAACATACCTATTCTATTTAAACGTGCCATACTATCCATCGCTCGTTGATAAGCCTTTCGTACATCATCTTCACTAACAACAAGTTTAATTCTATTCCAACGATCTGGTTGATCTAACCATTGATGGGCATTAACAGCTACTTGTGTACCAAGAGGTTTCGTCAATACAAGTACATCACCAACAACTGCATTATCTGGTCTACATAGATTTTAGATGCTTATTATTAATATAGTAACTATCATTTTATCTTTTCACCAAGACAAATAATATTAAAAGTATAATCACATCGCAGCGATATTCATTTTCAACATACACAATGTATTCATTTGGTTGACAAACAGTAGAGGCGACACCACCTATCGTACACCAAGGATTAACAACAGTTTGACCACCAGTAACGGTTGTTCCAGCCTCCAATGCTGAATCTTTAAAACCTCTCATAATTAAAGGAACAACTACATCACGTTCTTTCTCTGTCATTTTTGTGCTGACTCCCAACAACATTAACATATTATCACATTCCGTAACACCCATAGCGTACAAATCACTGATGACATTGGCGCATGCAATCTTTCCTGAAAACATACTCCAATAAAAGTGCTAACAGAAATTGTTAAGTAAACTTTTAGAAAATTTAACAACTATAAAATGTCATAAAGGGTATACTTAGAAAAATAAATTCAAGAATTTGGTTCCATGTTACTTGTATCGATGCATATATATCTCTTACCCATCATGTAGGGATCATCAACTAGCGGATAAAAAAAGTCTGTTGTTTGTACCAAGCTAAGTCCGCCGTGTCTCAAAGGAGTTACGGAGGAATCCATACCAATGCCTGTAACAATTAATGCAATTCATTAGAAACAATGTCAGAATTGAAATTAAAAAATACAATTTCAAAGAAATAAATAAAATTATAAAATTAATTTGTAAGAAATTCGACAGCACTGGAATACCAATTGAAAGTATCTCAGTATGGAAAATTTCTAAACATTTTTTCTACCTGCTGTTCTTTAGAATACTCGACAAAATTCAAGTATTCTACTGTATTAGCAGGAATTAAATAAATATTTATATTTATTAATTAAATAATATTCCCCTATAATTATATCTATAAAAGTTTCTATAAAAGTTACACAAGAGATAATTATAAAAAAAAATATATATATTAAAAATCTCCGATGTTATATTTCATAACGTTAATTATATAGCGCGCCAATAATTCATACGACGAGGTTGAGAACACCTATACTTCCGGAAGCGTGGGAGAAAAGAGGCGGGAGATGGTTGTATTCGCCGCCATATTGAATAGGGATGGATCGAATGTATTCGTGCCCCTAACCCTTTCTCTATAATGGAATTTTCCTATCGCGATCGATCAGTTTCTATGAATTATCCAAAAACTTTCGCATCGTTCAAAATCAAATTTATCACGAATTTTAACTTAATTTGCAATATTAATTAAATATGGAAATAAGAAATCTGCAAAGAAAAGAAAAAAAAATATAAAAAAATATAAAAAAAAGTAAGAATCAATAAGACTGAATGTACATAAATATTGTAAATGAAATCGAAGATGGAATTTGATTGCAGAAATAAAATATCATGAAATTAAAAAAAAAAAAGATTAAAAATAAAATAAAAAAATAAGACATATCATTGTATACGCATAAAGATGTAATTCTTACACAATCACGTCGAGTACTCGTATGTTCAGAAGTACTCTCGTACATCGTGTTCACTGTGAGTAGTAAATGTGTGAGTGAGCGCGAACGCGCGCACAGGAGCGTGTGATTAATTACGCATAAGCATAATGTAACTCACCGATGCGCGGAATGGCCATATGCATAAAGTGAGCATGTTCATGATCTTGTGCGGCATTATCATCTGCCTGTAGTCCCTCTAGGAGTTTTCCAAGAACCTCCTGAGGGACTTTACACCCTCATCCTTTAAGATCGGCAAACCGCGTTAAGCGGAAGGTCGCATCAAGATCATGTGCCACCGGGTCGAATGGCCTGCGCAACGCCAAGGCATTTGGATTACCACCAAGTTCCAGCTGTACGACGGACAGGGCGTCCTGAGCGACTGGGGTTCCCTGTATATCCGCCATCTTGTACCGAAATCTCGAAAGAAGACGCGATACGGAAAAGATGGAAGAGAGAGAGAGAGAGAGAGAACAAAAAATGAAATTTCCTTTAATCCGACAAATCCTATCACGGTTATAAACAGTCGGTGGTAATCTTAAGAATCTTGAAGATACTAGGATTATTTGAAGGTTCTCACACGCGTTTATGAAGAATAATTGTAATCCTATTTCTCTCCTCCTCTCTCAACGAATCAAAGAAAAGAAGACGTAAACGATGCGATATCGTACGCCGCCGACAGACAGCCACTGCTCGCGATTGACTCTACACCACACTATACCCCCGCCGTCCTGTGAACTCGCATCGAACGTGAATTATACTCTACACCGGCGTCGACTAGCCGGGATCGTATGCGTTGACAAAATGGACGTACCTCCAACGTCCACGAAGCTGAGAGAACGCGCAAGGCCACCGTGAGCCCCCACGATGCCCCTACCGTGCCCTTGCACTTTCTTCATTGGTCCTTTCGAATTGGAACATGCGCATTACTTACTAATTCCTCAGGTACGTATCTAGAGCATCCTTTCGCCTCAGGAACTAAACTAACTCGTGATTCATTTTAACCAATATTCTAGACTGCTGTTTCTCTCTTTCCTTCTTACATATGCTTCACTCATCCAAAGTTCAAACGACGCACTGCCGAATCGAGGGAAATTTTATACGTGGTAAATATATTTTGGAATTCGACGAAACTATTAACATATTTTCTTCTCTTTTTATTTCATTTTATTTTATAATCAATAAATTATTTGAAATTTAATTCATATGTAGTATAATAAATTACGGATTTTTATATAATACGAAATTATTATGTTTATATTTTTAAATGCAATTGTTACGATGTTGTAATACAACGATGTTAAAATATTCTTTATCATTTTATAACAATGCATACACATATTGATACAGATGCCGATTTAAGACTCTACGAAAATACGAAACGTGTAAACGTAAGCTATTCTTATACGCTACCATTGCAGACTCGTATTCAGACATATGAGTAATGCCGGTTAATCGAATATGTCACGGTTTGATAGATCCATAAATTTCTTTATACCGAGTAATTTAAGTACTCTCAAATATTCTTTGTCGAAGATATTTATTAGTTTAAATTTTATCCCTGCAAATATCACGATACTTTTATTTTTCTTGTACGAATATAACGATAATCACTGGTCCGACGTCTCCGACAGTGGTTCTCAATAATAAACATTTCATTATTTTCCTCAATCATGTTGAATCTTGAAGGAACAATATTTAAAATAAAAACTGTGACATAAAAATAATAATTAATATGAGAAGAAAATTTCGGTTTTACGGATAATAAAATGAAATTCTGTTTTTGTTTTATTTTTCTTCATTTGTTTTATGCAACATTGTATAAATGCAATAAAATATTAGTTTTTTTTACTAAACGTATCCTTTATAAAATTGTAAAAAGATACGTTTAACTTACTTTAATACGCTTTTAATCATTTTAACACGATTAGGATATACATTGGCGGACTGTCGTTGGCAGAGTATAGTATGCGGGCGATGGTCGTCTTGGAATGTTGCTCGTTCGCCAAGCGATCGTAGAACTCGTCTCTCTTTCCTTCTCTTTTTCTTTCTTTCTTTCTTTCTTTCTCTTTCTTTCTTTACAATGTTTCCCGCGCAAAATACTTGATAACACTCTGTTCATGCAGAGTTCCGAGAGTTCCAAGAGTTTTTTCCAACCACGTCGAAGATTATTAGCCGCGGTCAATCAGATACACTCAAAAGAAATTTCTTTTTTCAATTTCATTTACTACTCGCTTCGGATAACTCAAGCAATGGTTAAATAAGTTCATTACGAATGATTTATTCCAATCTATTTTATTCGAAAAATAAAAACTAATTTACGCTAATGTACGCGATATTAAAAATAGATTTGTGAAGCAAGTGTACGAGGAAAAACAAAGTATATCTGATTGTAAAAGTCTCGCAATATTCAGAAAAAATTACTTACTATAGTTTTCATTGATATTTCTATTGCAAGGCATTGATTTGCGATATTAATAACTCAAACACATGAGTTATATATTTTACGAAGTAAATTAAACGAAGAAAAAATAAAATATAAAATGAAAATCTAACACCGACGCGATCGCAATAAAGAAAATATGCAAAGTATATTATTCTACTATCAATACTTACTGTCAGTATTAAGTTTGAAAACTTTTATCAGTTATAGGAAATCTACTTTACCGACACGAGCTAAACACCGCCACTAGCGAGATCTTTCGTAAAAAAGAGATACTAAACGAGGGATCGGTCAGTCGGTAAATTAGGAATTTTGTTTATCAATTATTTGTACCGTAAAAAAGATAAATATTTAAACAACTTAATACACATCTCTATGTGGATCAATATTATTTGATATTTTTTCCCTTACTCGAGGTTATATAGCAACGATGAATAATTTTGAAACTAAACTCTAAATCACAAAAAAAAAGGAAAACAGTATTAATATTAAAACAATCATTAAATTTCAACATGAAATCTTTAAAACTCATTTCCTTTTTCCTTCTTCGAAAGTTCCTTGAATCATTCTCCTCCCTACTTAATGTCACCGTTCTTGTCTCTCTCCTTGAAGCACAAGCTGTTGTACGTTTGTTTGCGTATCGCGAAAGGCAAAGAAGGTTTAAATCAGTCGACTATTTGCTGCCGTAGCGGCGGCAGCAGTAGTAGTAGAAGCAGCAGCTAACGTAACAGCATAGGTAGTCATATTAACATCAGTAGCAGCAGCAGAAGAGTAGTAGCAATAGTAATAGGAAGAAAACATTGGAAGAAAAAGTCAGGGTAATAACAGTGTAGTGGTGGTGGTGGTGGTGATGTATAGTAGTAGTCGTAGTAGTATAATGTAGTGTGTGTAGTGACGGAGTGCTATCCTAATCGTTTGTTGAGCACAGTCGTGCAGTAGAGTGCAGTAGACTGCGAAACGGTGTGCGGGAAAGACTGCATTCTCGCGCGTTTACCTTCCGACCTAGTTTTCGTGCCTGGCTTTTCCGATTTTCGATTATCTCTCTCTCTCTCTCTATCTTGATTCCTTTCCTATTTCTCTTTCCCTTCATCTATCCACCTATCTATCTATCTTTGTCTCTCCATTTGCAACGAGACTGATTCCTCGCAAGTACGGCCGGCCTCGCAGACAGACAGTGTTCGTGCGGATCGATCGCACTACCAAACGATGTCGTCTTCTCCTTGACAACGTTACCAACGTTCTTTCCGTGCTTTTAATTATTATTATTATTATTATTATTATTATTATTATTAATTCTTGTTGCGCGTTACAGTCGTGTTGTTAATGTTATCGCGTGTCGTGTGCCAGTTGTTGTCCAAACGATTTCTTATTACCGATCTCTTACTTTCATTCTTTCTTTCTTCTTCCTCTCTCTCTCTCTTTATTTGATTTAATCAAAGAGATAGACTCTGATTTAGAGATAGAGAGATAGGAAAGGGTTTCCAATTAAGAGATAAGTTTGTAACGCAAAAAAAAAAACAGAAAAAAAAGAAAATGCAAGACGTTGCTGATAACTCGTCGAAATCCGTATTGCTGAACACCTTCGTTGTTAAGAAGAAGAGATGTCGCGTGTATTTTCATCGTGGCACCCTCATCTGGGAAACGGAAAGACCGCCTTATAGTAAGTACGATACGAGATTTATATTTTATATTGCGTAGCACACATATCACTTATTTCAAGGATATAATATAAAAAACACAAACTTAAGATATTTTTCCTAAGTGATTTCTTTTCTCTTTTTTCTTGTTCATTCGACTCTTCAAACCTCTTTTTTTCGATATCGGATGGGAGGGGGAGGGAAACAAACATGTCCGTACTTTTGAATATTTTTCTCTTCGGGTTGGATGTTTATTTTTGTTTCTTTCTTTTTTAACACGTTCCTTTTATTTAATTTTTTCTTTTCGCGTTAACATTTCTCTCGATCGGTTGATCGTGAAAGTAAAAGATTTATATCGCATCTCTTTCCCTTTCATCCGATTTCTTTTTTTTTTTTTTTTTTTTTTTATATATTTCCTGGGAATAATTAATGACGTTAATTTCGTTTTTCAAATGTTTTTCGCTTGACACGGAAAAACCGGCAAGGGGGGCAAGCTTTTCTCTTTTTTATTGTTTGGTAAAGATTAAACGACATTAGGGAAAATTACCAAACGAATTGGGAATATTACCAGGAAGAATATTATTATTGTAATACATATTTTATATTCCAATCAATTAACCAATATATTTCGATATCGGAAATGGTGATTAATTTTGAAAGAGAAAGAGAAAAGGTAGATAAGATTAATCGTTAGTTATGTAGGGTTTTCAGAATTTTGGGCAAATTAAAAATGATTTTTGATTAGAAGATAATAATTTGTTGATTAGATACATCATTTATGTAATATTTTAGTTTGTTTGTTTGATTAAATTGAAATATTATATATATATATATGTTTTGTGTGGAGTATAATATATAAAGAATAAAATGAGATAAATAATCGTTTAGAATAATTGAAATAAAATGAATTCGCGTTTCGAAGGTTCGCGCTAATACTAAAGCGTTCGTTCTTGAATGAAAGGAATGGTGAAACTGGGCCGTCGTCACCGAGAAAATGTTTCACTGCTGTTGCTTGACCTTGCTCTTTCATTTGTATGACACTTCTAGGAAGAAGATTACTCTTTGTAGTAGTTGTCAATTAAAATCATAAATATTGTATACATATATAATATATATATATATATATATACAATGATTTTATCATTGCCGTTATACTGTATCGTGTATTTGTTTTCCATATGTTTTTTTTATTATTAATCTTCTTTCAATCCAAACGTGTTTCTATTAAATTATAGAAAATAATTGTATTAGACATGCTTTCCTAATCTAAATCTAAATCTTTGTAAATATTCCATTGATTTTTTTGTAATAATATTTTGTAGTTGATACGAAACAAATTAAATAATAACAATAAATGAATATTAATTCTGTTATTTCTTAAGAAATATAATGGCGATTACATTGAAACATTTGTTTATCGTATTATTTTCGTAATAAGAAAATAATAAATGACGATTATAAACTCGAGGTTATAGCAATAATTTGCGTCAATGTGTTATATGCGTCGTCTTTTGAGTATTATACAAACATCATTTTCAATAATTTAATTACGATTCCCTTATATTATAGAAGGAATTGTGTTAACTTCCACTTAAGGAGAGTGTCCTCCATCTCGAAACTTGATATTTCCTCTTATAATCAATCAATATTGACCAATGGATTCCTATCGAAGAAATATTTTAAGTATATATTTTCATTGAGGAGAAATTTTAATGTTTAATCAAATGTTTTTATCTTTAGCGATTAAAAATTGTACGAACTTTTTTAATTTTATTCGAGATATTTATGAGAAATGTAATTAAAAGAGATTAAAAATGAAATATTATTATTAAACCCCAAAAATTATTATTTAAACAAAAAGAAAGAGAATATATATAATAAGAAAAAAGAAGGAAATGAAGAAACCGATTGGAGAAAAAAATGATATTTTTAAAATAATTTATAAATGCATGCGTGCTCACACACACACGTATGCATTTACGTATCTATGTATATATGTGTGTGTGCGCGCGTATAAAAATATAATTTATATATGATTCGCGAGTAGGGGAAAGATAAAAAAACAATCGAAGAATATCCGACACTTACAATTAGGCGGTCCAGTCACGTGGACGTCAAAACATGTGTCGATACGTGCACGAGTTACGTCCTTGAATAATTCGATTTACATATCGTTCTACTTCCTCTCTTAATCAATACTACATACTAACTTTTTTTTTCTTTTTTTTTTTTTTACGATTTACGCGCTATGATTACGTTGAAAAGTTTTCAACCTATAACATACAAAACAATGTTTTATATCGGTCAAACTCACTTTTATTTAGAAATAGAAAGAAGAAGAAGAAAAAAAAATAGAAGTTTTTGTGCCAAGGCTCAATACTTTTCAAATATACCATATATTTTCTATTTCTTTTTGTTTAAATAATAATAATTTTTGTTTATAATAATAGTATATTTTCAAGGTGTTGTACAATGAAATAAGAGAAAAATAGAACAATGTAAGAGAAGAATAAAGAAGAAGAAAAATAGAAGTTTTTGTGCCAAGGCTCAATACTTTTCAAACATACCATATATTTTCTATTTCTTTTTGTTTAAATAATAATAATTTTTGTTTATAATAATAGTATATTTTCAAGGTGTTGTACAACGAAATAAGAAAAAAATAGAACAATGTAAGAGAAGAATATTGCATAAACGGGGATATAACATTTAATTAACTAAATTATAATGAAAAGTATGTATATAAGATAATAGAACGGTGGTTGTAGGTACATTGAAAAAAGGCGCGTCAGTATTTTCTAGGATTTTGCTATTGTTATATTATGTTGGGGGTCAAACGTGTCGTTTAGTATTATCCTCACGCAACGCGGAAAGAAATATTCTTTATTTACACGAGACTAGCCTACTCATATCAGATCGCGGTGTGTCATATAATCGTACGATGAATGATGATTGATTCGTTGTTTTTAAATTTTTCGAGGAGAAAAAAGAACAAAAAAAAAAAAAAAATAAGGAAATCTTCGAAACGAGAATTTGGATTATTATTATTATTATTATTAATGGGATTGTCCACAAACGGAATTAATTAATTTTATATTATACTTTCTTCTCTGAGGTCGTTCGCATTTTTTTAGAGGTCTTTAACGATTCAAGGTCGTACTCATTCTTCGAGAATTTATATCTGCTTCTTATACATATATATATATATATATATATGCGTGCAATTTATAGCGAGAAAGTTTTACATTCAAAAGTATAATGTAAGCAATGTGAACATTGAATTGACGCATACAAAGAAAATGTTTTAAGTATCGTAAATTAAAGTATACAATTTTTTCAACGCGTAGAATACTTTGTCGAGTAATAAATCGATCTGCAAAGGTTCAGAAAATTTCAGAGAATGCAATGCTGTAAATTGTACAACTGCCAATTCTTTGAAAAGTTTCGGTAAATATTTTTTATACTAAAAGTAAATAGATTTTAATGCAACTTATATTAAATTAAAGTACACACTTTTTTCAACACGTAGAATACTTTGTCGAGATATAAATCGATCTGCAAGGGTTCAGAAAATATCAGAGAATGCAATGCTGTAAATTGTAAAACTTTGCCAATTCTTTGAAAAGTTTTGGTAAATATTTTTTATACTAAAAGTGAATAGATTTTAATGCAACTTATATTAAATTAAAGTACACACTTTTTTCAACACGTAGAATACTTTGTCGAGATATAAATCGATCTGCAAAGGTTCAGAAAATGTTAGAGAACACAATGCTGTAAATTGTACAACTTTGCCAATTCTTTGAAAAGTTTTGGTAAATATTTTTTATACTAAAAGTGAATAGATTTTAATGAAACTTGTATTAAATTAAAGTACACTCTTTTGTCTACGCGTAGAGAATACCTTTTCGAGTAATAAATTAATCTACAAATTTTCATAAAACTTCAGAGAATGCAATGCACTTATTTACCTGCAATTAAATTGAAATGGTACGCATGACCCCAGAAGGAAATAACCGATTCTTAACGTCCGTTGTTAAAATGTTGCAGAACACGCGAAAATGTTGAAAATATTGCAACAACGATATTTTTGCAAGAAAGAAAGAAAGAAAGCAAAAAACAAACAAACAAATTCCAATGTAATGTTTTCAATCGAAAATTTATTCGAATAACGTTTGGTTACGCGTTTTTGTTCATACAGGGTGTCCCCCTCTCCTAAATACAAAGAACGTCTAATATAAACTAGAAGATTATTTAAAAAAAAAAAAAAGAACAAATAGAAAAGAAAAAGAGATACTAGACACACTTGGTAATTAAAATTAAGTGTCTATCTATCTATCTATTGGCCGTTTAAAAAAAATGACATTAGCATGAGAAACAAATTTTCTTTACGTAACACGATTGACGTAAATTTTCTTTTTATTACTCGCTCAATGCATCTTCGTTAGTTCAAATTGATGTTCGTTAGATGTTCACGATGCTATATACAATAAGTGTTGCATATCTTTTTGTTTTTAGTTTATTATTATTATAATCATCGTTGATTGTTGATTCGACTATAAACTGATAATAAAAAAAAATAACAAATCTTCCCATTTATATTTGCATTTTTGTTTCTATTTAAACTTAGGATAGATTAATCCTTAAGCGGTTACGTGGGTTTGGGACTTTCAAAAAAAATTTTTTTTTTTTTATCTTTTTAAATTTTACAACTCATCTAGAATATTGTATTTAATTTTGAAGTCGATAGGAGTAGTAGTTTTAAAGATAAAGCCTTGGGAAGTTCCAATCTTTAATGGCTCTTATACCACCACTCAAATCTTTAAACGCGTTTTTCTCAAAACGCTTTTTCTAAAGTCGGTTGTCAAGATTTCTCCAAAACTAATTAACCAATTTTGATTAAATTTGCTACACGTCTTCGTGATACTATTGACAAGGACTTGAACGAAGGATTTTTGTTTGTTTTTCATAAAATCGAATTTTAAGAAACCAAAATGTGGTGCAAATTGTAGCGAAATTTGAATGTTCTTGCTAAAAACGTTGTCAAAAATCCAAATTTCAATTTTTTTCTTTCTCCTTCGTCCAGTTTCTAGTTTGAAGTATTCACTAAAAGACCCTATTTTTTCAACAGAAAAACCCCCACCGTTTATAAGTTCTGCTGTCAACGCGAAAACACTTTTTTTCGATGGGGTCACCGGAAATGACGTCGCAATGGCTGAGTTTAAAATATTTTTCAAGCACAATTTCAGAAAATGTTCTTTAAATATGTATCTTAAATGCTATAAAAAGTTTGAATAAGAATTCCATTTTTTATATAGAAAAAAAACTTGTTGAAAATATGCTATTTTTTCCCGGTGTAAACCCATGTAACCCCTTAATGTGATTGTGACGTTTATTGAAACAAATCCAATTCTTGATCTTACATATTTCTATTCGTATGTATAACAGCAATACGTTTAATATCGATTTTACTTTTGTATTCGCAGCACGAACTAAAAAAGAATATTTAACGATCGGTTATACCAGCAAGCCAACACATATGCATAATTGACAGATGTTAGTGAACCGTTAAACGAGTATGGTAGACCACCCCACAACGTCGTTTGTTCAACGCGTAATAAATAATGATAAATCGATTGGACATTTTCAATTTGTCCACACACACTTCCCCTTTCTTCCCATTGTCAGACAAAGTGCATATCCTAAGTGTATATGCATATTGTATATGCAGCACGTATTGCAAATAAATCAATGATATTTCCAATTTCATTCATTTTCCAATCGGAATTTATTTTTATAATAGTAAAAAATGACGTGAAGTAAATTTCATTTCAAGTACTTGTGACTCAATTAACGTTAAACATACGTTTACAACTCGTTTCAATGGATTAACTTAAGCTATTTATCGAATGTATCTTGCTTATCTCGACCATATATATATATATATATATATATATATATATATATATATTTAGTACACATGTACCGACGTTTAAACAGAAGCAATCATTTTCTTTTTTTTTTTTTTCCTTTTTAAATATTATTTATCATTTATTTTTATAACCTCGTTATATAAAATAATTTTTCTTTATCTTCCTTGTGTTATACACATATTAATATGGTTATTTAAAATATATTAAAAAATAAGTTGAAAGATAATTATTAATTAATTATTTGAATCAATTAGATATGAATTAATTGAAATGATGAGATAAACCAATTAGTCGAATCATTAATTAAACCTTTTATTTTGATTTTAAATTGAATTCTTAATTAATCTCTAACTGACACATTCATTTCATTTAAATAGAATTTGAATGAATTTATTTTCCACCGCTTAACACGTCCGAGAATTATTATTTAGCAATTCTCGAGTGATAATGTAAAGGCTAATCTAATCGTGAAGAATAAAATCAGCGATATTGATCATTCGTTTTTATAAAATCGTGAACGTCTCCAAGGTAATCGATTTAAATACACGTATACTTATTTATTACTTACTGATAAGGCACGTATGCTATTATATATTAAGAGTACTTATTAATATTTATATTATTTTTCGCGACATTGCAAGACAAGAAAAAAAGAAATGATGACAATTTCTGGTCTTTTTTTTTTATCATTGTTCTTTCTTCCTTTTTTTTTTTTTGTTCCTAATGATAGGAAAAATGTGAAATTAAAAACTTACGATCGTTCTTTTATATCATCTCATATCATTTAATCGTTTATTTATATTTATATTATATTTGTATTCAATTACAGATACACACACACACGCACACATATTCAAGGATATATGGAAAAGAAACTTGAATTGTGATAATGGTTGAATTTTATCCTTCTTATTAATTATATGCAAGAAGAATATAGGAAATAAATGAAACATTAAATGACTATCATCTAATTGTATTATAAATCATTAATAAAAATGTAATCGTGTTATAAATTAGTTAATAAAAGAAAGAATGATAAAATTTAGAATAAAATGATTTGCAAGTGTTTTTTAAAATGTTGCATTCGATTGAACTTTGTTGGTTTAAGGGGTTACATGGGTTTGGGACTTTCAAAAAAATTTTTTTTATTTTTATTTTTTTTTTTCAATTCTACAACTCATATAGAATATTGTATTCAATTTTATACTTATTTGAGAATGGATCTTTTACTTATTATTATTTAGATTTTAGTTGTTTTTAGTTGATTTTTCGGTGTGTGTGTCTTTTCTTTTTTCTTTTCAATAATTAATTCATGTAAAATTATTCCTCGACTTAATCAACGGAAAGATGATCAAAGAATTATCAAAAAAAGGAATAGCGTATATTACCTCACTATTCAAYGCYATTTTAMGCCTAGGCTACTATCCTACTKCATGGAAAGTAGCAGTAATTACACTCATTCACAAGCCAGGTAAACCACCTCATGACGTTACGTCATACCGACCAATCAG